CAGGCATCTGACGTGATTTCTGTAGAACTGTTTGGCCCTGAAGGAACCCATCAGGAGATCTGGGCTTGGTCAGTCGCTGGGCACCCTTGCCTGTGGTAGATGGTAGGTTTAGTCTGGGTCAGCAGTGTGACAGGACAGCCCTGAGGAGTTATGAGCTGGGGCTGAAGGAAGCCAAGGAGGGAAGATCAGGCATGAACAGGTGATATCATCCCCTGGTCAAATCCTACTGGGATGACTGTGTTCTGTTCTGGGTGCCGAGGTTTAGGATGGACCCTGAGGATGAGCTGGAGTGTCCAGAGGTTACTGGGCTAGAGAAGGGCCTCCAGGTGATGATGCCCCATCAGTTGGGTCTGTGGAGCCTGGACTAGAGGGCCCAAGGAGAAACACTGTGATCATGGTGTCCAAGGGCTGTCATATGGGACAGAGCTCAGCCTGGTTCTGATTGGCCCCTTCCGACAAGGTGTTCTGGGTGAAACCATCTGCGGCGGGGGGAGAGAGCTGTCCAAAAGTGGAACGGGAGGCTGGAGAAATGGGCTTCCCCTGGGGGGTCTTCAGGAGGGGGCTGGCAGAGCCCTTTGTCACAGAAAGTGATGAGGGCAGGGGGTTCTTTTTCAGGCACAGATTAGATGAGATTTCTTCCAGCCCTGAGACTCAGCCAGTAAGTGAAATGATCTTCCCTTCCCCAGTGGTAAAATGAGGGATCAGGGGCTTCTGCCATCCCTCACTCTCTTGTGGTCCGTCTCCAATGCTGGCTTACTTTGATGAGATGGTTTGTCCAGGTTGAAGTGAGCTGTGAAGCCTGGCACTGCATCTCACAGCCGCAAGTGCTACAGATACTTAAAAATATCTGTGAATTTTTAAAATCCAGGGGAGATATTTTTGAAGCATGCCATATTGGCAACCTCCTACTCTGTTATGTATGACCAGCCCTGATCCTGGAGGCGTCTCTTCCGGTGGGTGGGAGCAAGTGTGAGAAACTCTCCCTAGATGACTTCACTGTCCTCCTTCCTATACATTGTACATGTGAAGGAGGAGGACAGGGGGAAGAGCCTGTGGGCCATCTGGTTCCTTCTTCTTGCCAGGGCAGACCAGCATGGTTTAGAGGGAAGATGTTCCTCTGGTTTTAAACCAAGGAACCAGCACAGCAGATAAAGTGCTGGCCCTGGGGTCAGCAAGAGCCGAGTTCAAATCCAGCTTCAGACATTTCACTAGCTCCGTGGCCCTGGGCAAGTCACTTCTCTCTGTTTTGCTTCAGTTTCCTTCCCAACCCTGACAAGGCAAGGTGGTTGTGAGGATTAAAGGAGATAATGATTCTAAAGCACTTAGCACAGTGCTGGGCACTTAGCAAGCCCTACAGAAATGGTGGCTATCATCATCATCATTATCGTTATTCACACTAGCTGTGGGACCATGGGCAAGTCACTTCACCCTATTTGCCTCAGTTTCCTCATCTGTAAAATGAGCTGGAGAGGGAAATGTCAAACCACTCCAGTATCTCTGCCCAGAAGACCCCAAATGGGCCCATGGAGAGTTGTACACAACTGAACATCATCGTTTTTTCACCGTTTAGTCCTTCAGAGACCATAGCTGGCAACCACCACTGCGGCTAGCAAACAGGGAGTGATTAATCAATGTTTGCTCCAACTTGACAGGCACTTGTTAAGCCAGGAGACCCGGGCTGCAGAGGCAGAAACAACCCATGTTCTGTTCCTGAAAGCTGATGTTCTCAGGGACACAACCTCTGTGCCACACTTAGCATATCTGAGAGCACCGGCTGTCCAGCGGGCCATATATGCTGATTCTGCCGGCAGGAATGACAGGGACCACAGAGCAGACAAGAAGTGGGGAGTGAGGGGTGGGTCCTACCTGCCGATGGGGAGTGACCCGGGGTGGGAAGGGGGGTCGGCCTGGGCAAAGCCAGGCTGTGAAGGAGCCTAGAGGGCCGGGACAGGGGCTCGTTCTGGGGCATCGCTTGATGGGATGCTGTGCAAAGGGAACAGGTTTCACCCCAGGAGAAAGCCTGCAGGCGAGAGGCCAGGGCAGCTCCAACACCGAGGGATGTTCTCCACCTGCACACTCCTATCATAGCAGGAGACACAACTTTCATCTTTCCATTGAGCTCTCTTGTCTCCTTTCCCAGCTCCCACAATCCTCTTTTTGACCTTTCCTCGAGGCCTGGCCTGGCCTCCAGGTGGGTGAGGCTGGGCAGAGATTCCCGTCCTGCTCAGTCTTCCCCCAAACAAGACACAAATGCTCATTTCTTTAGGAGTTTGGGCAGGCCCTGGGAGGAGGGGTCCCGGGTTTTTTATTATCTCCATTTTCCAGAAGGCGGCCCTCGGCACTTCTCAGTTTCCCCACCTCTCATCCCACCAGCTCCTTAGTCCAGGCCACACTGGTCTTCCATAACCCTGCCCTACAGTGACATCTTCCTATTTTTCTCTCCTTTTTCTCTCCTCCTAGATTGGGAGCTCCATGAGGGCAGGGGTCAAGGAGGCTTTTGTGCCAGGCTCCCCAGTCAGGAGAAAGAGTCTGTGCCTAGGATGGGCTTCATGAGGGTTTGTGGCCTGAGGGAGCCCCAGGGCCTGGAGGGAAGTTTTCCTTCCAAGTTATAAATCCTTCAGGACAGGCCCCGCTTCTGGTCCAGGTCATGTGGTCCAGTGCAGCCCTGCAGACGTCCAGTCTGGGGGGGGATGGGCATGGCTTGGTAAGTCATATGGGAGAATATGAGGCCTGTGGGATGGCCTCAGAGGACAGGAGGACAATGACTGAAGCATGCTTGTCATGGTGAGAAAGGTCCTTTCATAAAAAACACTTCAGGAGCAAGGCAACGAGCACCTACTGGGTATGGGGGCTCACTCAGTTTACCATCTGTGATTCTGGGAGAGTCAGTCCCTTCCACTCTCTGGGCCTCAGTTTCCAGCTCTGTAAAAGAGAAGGCTGGTGTCCATTCCCCAAGGGCACTGCCAGCTCCCATCCTCCCCCTTATGTCCCTTCCAGGGCTGACATTCTTCTGGAGGCCCCTGGACTCCCCCAAGCTCTACTCCCACGAACTACATCCCCAAGCCTCTCCCTTCGTGTCTCTGCTGCCGGCAATGGCAGGTGACTCGTGGAGTTTCAGGCCTCTACCTAACTTCAGACAGTGCTCCAGCCTCACCCATGCCCCCTCCCTGAACAGCAGCCCCCTTGAGGTGCCATCTGAGGCATGTGGTCCCAGTCCTTTCTGCCCTTTCACTGATCCTTTGATCCTTCTTGGTCCCCTGATACCCCTGACCTCCCTGCAAGGGTGGGCATCCCCCCAGACTCTTTCCTGGACTTCATTCCAAAGGCCTTTCCCACCCAGCCATGGATCAGTTTCCTCCCCTAAATCATGTTGTATATTCTCTGTTTACATCTCTGCTGCACGTATTCTCTATTTACCTAAGAACCCGCCAGCCACCCATTTCCCAGCAGCGCAGAAGTACGCTGAGGGAAAAGACTGTCATTCGCCCAGCATAGCACAGTGTCTGGTATACAGCAGGTGCATAAAACAGCCCTTGAAGGTTTGTAGAGCACTTTCCACACAACACCTCTTTGGATCTTTCGCAACAACCTTGTGAGGTAGGTGCTGCTGTTGTCCTCCCCAATTTACAGACAGGAACACTGAGGCTTGGTCACACAGCCAGCAAACATCTGGGATGAATTTGTCATCAGGTCTCTCTACCAAGCCATGCCAGAAGAACACTTCCTAAAACAGCTCTGGGCTCTGCTTCCTCACTAAAGCCCAGGACAGTCTTGGAAGGAGAGGCTTTCAGGGACAGCAGCCCCCTACCAAACGGGCATTGGGTCAGATGAATATCGAAGCAGCTTAGTAAACATCTGGGATGCCAGCATTTCAGGACAGAAACTGATACTCAGCCTCCTCAGCAGGGGGGAATTACAACTGAGGAGGAAAGGAGGTATCTCATTAGTCAGGAAAAGCTTCGCTCCCAAGGTGAGCCAGGCACTCAGTGTGCGTTTCATGGAAGCAACATGCATGAGGGCCAAGCCCCAAGTGGGCATCTGACAGGAAGGGGGTGGGGGTTCCCTTCCCTGCGGGGTCTGGCGTAGGACAAGGCCTAAGAGTTGGTCTCTCTTTGTTGTCTAGACCAGGGCCCTGCCCAGAGCCCACACTTAATAAATGTTTGTCAAATTGAATTGCAAATTGTTTGGAGATAAGTCAGACCATATCTCTCATTCTGTTCACATTGTGCTGGCTAAACATGGAAGCCTAGGATGAAATGCCCCCAGATCCAACTCTCTGGGCTGGCTGGGGCACACATCCACACTACGGCTGGCTCGGCAAGGCAAAAGGAAAGCAAACCCAAGCACCTGGCCTGGCATTCCCTGGCTTAGGAGCACACACACGGGCGCTAACACACACACACACACACACACACACACACACTGTCTGTCCCATGCAATCTTAGATAGACAACGGGAGCTGTAGAACCATACGGGGACCAGGCTCAAGCTCCTGGGGATGGCACAGGGCCTCCAAACCCACCTGAGGCTAACAGGCACAGAGCTGGGGGCCACCTATCATAGAGCCCTGCTGATGCTCCTCTGAAAACCCTGTCAGATTCAGGAAAACACGAGAAAGTGGGGGAGTGGGTGGGAAGGAACCAGTGCTCTCCCCCCCCCCCCAGTTTTCCACCCATAATGACTCCCTTTCTTGTTCACAGCTCAACAAAGGGGCCAGGTTTTTTGATCCTAGGCAGCTGGCGCAGGGATGCCCCTGGAGCTCTGTTTGTGCCCATGTCCAAAAGGCAGCCCAAGACTCCAGAAAGGGAACTGGAATAGACCACAGAGGTCATGTAGTGCAGTCCTGCTCCCCACTTTGGGGCAGGGATCTCACGGGTTTTCAGGGGCTCAGTCTCTGCTGCTATTGCCGGGTGGTGGGGACAGACACTCCTTAGGCTCACATCCAGCAGGCGGGGGGGGGGGGGGGGGGGGGAGGGCACAGAGGGGCAAGGCTAGCCCTCCCCAGAAAGCCCCTTCCCACAAGGGGCCCAAGCCTTGGGTGTGCCACCACAAGGATGTGAGACCTCCACTTTTCTCTTTTTCAGGGCACGGTAACTGGCCCCCGCCCTTCCTTCTCCTGCCCCCCCCAACCTTGTCTGTCCCCAAGCCAGGTGGCTGAGGTTTCAAGGGCCCAGCCCCTTCCCTCCGGAGAGCACACGAATGCGGGGAGAGAAGGCGCCCTTGGATTTGGATTTTAAAGGAGAATACCGCAGACCTGCAAGGACTGAGCTGAACAGATACATCAGGCTACGGAGACGAAAGTGCCAAGGCCAGAGAAGCGCCGCGGGCCACCCACCCATACCCGCCACTGGCAGCCACGGCTGCCAGCCCCAGGGGCGCTGCAAGGGCCAAACGCAGGCAGACCCCCACATCTCGTGGGGTCCGGCGCTACAGATCCCCGACGGAGACCGGGACTCCGGGTGCGTGGATGAGTGTTTTGGGGCTGCGAGGTCTCCGGCGCAAGGTCTACAGCCCCTTCTCGGACCCGCGCTGCCCCGCCCCGCTTCCTCCAGCTCCGCGGCGCGGGGTGTCTGTAATGTATGTGTGTTGGGGGGGCCCCCAGAGTTCAGTGCAGATCTTTCTCTCTCGCCCTGGATGGGGGTCTGGCGGGGGTCCCCGGCCTGGCCGGCCAGTATCCCCTCCTCTGCTGCCCCTTCCCCCGCCGCGAAAGCCCCCTGTCCCAGTACCCAGCCGCCGCAGCCTCCTTACCCCTGCAGCACAGCCGGGCCCAGGGGCCAGGGGTCAGGGTCCGGACGATCGGGGGCCGTACGGGCTGAGGCCAGGACCCGAGCTGGGGCTGGGGCCGGCCCCAATGCTGCCCAGCTGGCTGTCGGAGCGCGCCTGCTGCAGGAAATACCAGAAGACTTATCCAACCACGTTAGCTAGAGGGAGGAGGGAGAGGTGGGGGAGGGGGAAGGAGGTGGAGGGACGGAGAGGGGCGGGGTGGTGGGGGAAGCGGCGTAGCCAAAACCTGGCCCGGATTTACCAGCGCGGAGCGGCCTGATTTGTATGACCCAGTTTCCAGTGGGAGGAGGAGGGGCACAGGCGGGGGGTGGGTCCGGGGTGGAGGTGGGGCAGATTGAAGCCACAGCAGGCTGGGGAGGAGGGTCGGAAGGAGGGTCGGTCCACTGCTCTGCCCTGCCCCCCCAGCTTCTGCTGTTTCTCCTTCTTTCACCTCCCTCCTTCCCTCTCTCTCTGTCTCTCTGTGTTTCTCTGTCTCCGTCTCTCTGTCCTTCTCTATCCTCTCGCTTTAGACTCTCCAAGTTAGGTGGAAGGACATTTGCTCAAACGTCTTTACCTGAACAAGCACCCCACATCCCTTGACCCGGGCTTCGGAGCTTTTTTGGCCTGTAACTCTCCAGTAAGGGGGAGCCCATGACCTCCCAGGGCAGCCTGGCCACTTGCAGACAGCTCTCCTCGTGAGCAGTTTCCCTCACATCCAGTCCAACTCCATCCCCCTAGAAAGCAAACTCCTCGGGAGCAGGGCCTGCCGCAGGTGTGTGGGCCTCCAGCACCTAGAACAGCGCCTAACACACAGTGGGCACCGACACGTTCCGGAGGATTGATCTGATCAGAGAGCTTTGCTGGGGCCGGATCGAGCTGGGGGAGTCCCTTTGATCCTCCAAGTCCACTTAATCTCCCAGATCTTTTTCAGACGCCTGCGGTCTAGCCATGTCTTCTTTCATCTTGTACTTGGGAAGTTGTATTTTTTTTAACCTGGGTTTAAGATTTTCTATTTATCCCTATTCCATTTCATTTTCTCAGATTTGTCCCAAATGTTCTGCTTTGTCAAGATTGCTGACATTAGCATTCTACATGTTACCTACCCCTTCCCCCTTATGTCGTCTGTACATTCGATGAGCAAGACCAGTCTCCCGTCCCCCTCCATCCAGCTTAGACTAGGCTCTGGAATCCTTTCAAGCATAATGATAACATCAATTCTGCCCCTGACTCAATTGATTTTTACCCAGATGGTCTCCACTGTGCTACCTTATATCTGGCCCTTGGATGTCATAAGTGGAGTTTACTATTACGCAAGCATGCCACCTTTTTTTTTTAAACCCATACTTTTCTATTTAAATAAAGTGTCCTGGACCTTCCAGAGGCAAATATATTTTCTCCCTCCCTCATCCCTTTCAGTTTAAAGCTCTTTTGATTAGATTTCTTAACAATGTGTAGACCAGTCACCTTTTTACCAGTCCTTGTTAGGACCCTGATGGGCTTTCTCTCCCTGGTTCTCAGATACCACCTTCTTTCCCATTTAGAAGGGCTGGAGAAACTGAAGTTTCTTGGTCCCACAAATCCTAACCTTATTCAAGGAGCCTTTAGTCCAAGCCAGCTCCCCTCAAGAGAACTCTGCTTCCTGAGACACTCTCTGGGCTTCCCCAAACACTGAGCCCACCTATCCCTGCCCCCCAGCTTGGATGTATAGCCCTGTCTCTAGAATGAAATTTTGGTAATGATTCTCTTCATCCCCATACACACATACATGCTACACACAGGTGCATGTCTCTTGTATATGCTTTTCTCAGTAGCCCCTCCATTTGTGCCTTTTGCCCTTCTATACCACTGAGGAAGTTCCTTGCTATCTCTCTCGCTATCTTTTGTGTGTGTATGTGTGTGGGTTAACAGCCCATTTCTCAGCCATATATCAAGACCAGCTTGCTCCCTGCCTTTCCAGCAACAAGAGGCAAATCTGCCTTCTTCCCACTTGCCCTTTGCCAAAGGTCCTGTCTCATCTTCACTCCCATAAAAGGAGATGCCATCAGTCATGCCCACCTCCTGCTGGGACTGCAGCAGCCAGGCCAACCTGCTCTCTGGAAGATGGGAGACCTCCCCAATCTTCCTCAGCTGGATCCTGGGCACCCCTGGCACTGCTGGGCTGCTCCTGCTGGACAGCAGCCCAATCAGCTGTCAAACACTCCCTAGCAGAGGACCCTGACAAGTTCAAACATCTCTAGCCAATCTACCAGGCATGTTAGTGGATGGGACTAGGGCATTTTGTGAAGCTTCTCCCCCCAACCCCCAAGCAATAAAAGCAAAACTGTAGGGTCATCACAAAACATAGTCAGAAGCAGCATTTTTTCCCTAAGAATCCCTGATTACTAGAGTCCAAACCTCAGAGGCCATCGAGCCCAATCCCTACCTGAACAGATGTCCCCTCCACAGCAGCCCTGGCAAGTGGTTATCTAGGGTCTTTGCTTAGAAACCTTCCAAGGGGATGAGACCCTCCCATTTTGGACACTACTAGAATGGCTCTAGAAAATAGATGTTTGAATAGGTACACCCATGGTCCAGGCAACCCTGGGAAATAGGCAAAGAAGGTAGGATCAGCCTTGCTTATTCATCAGATGGGGAACCATGGTCAGCAAGGCCTAGTAGCCTGCCCAATGCCTCAGAGTTAGGCAGGGTCCCAGCTAAGACAAGTCTTCTGCCTCTTATTTAAGGGCGATTTCCACTCCACTCCTCACTCAGCTCTCACTTTTCCTCCCCAAAGTAATCTCTTCACTTAAATGTTTACTCTCTCTTCACAGAAGGCTGTGAGCACCCCGGCAAAGAGGGAATTATCAAGTAACCCAATTGCCCTGTGTAGAGGAGCTGTCCTTTACCTGAACGATTATTGGCCGCCAGGCCTGGATGCCTGGATCATGTTGCTGCAAGGCTTCCCCCCCACCCCTAGTCTGAGTCTTAGCTTCCTCATGTGTGTTGGTGAAGATCTGTAGCAGGGGCTGGACTGGGTGCTCTCCCAGGGCCTTCCTTCCCTAACAACATTCTCTAGTTCATTTTTCACCTTTCGACGCCTTCTGATGCAGAAACGGTTAGAGAAAATGCTCAGAGCCATGGCTGGAATCAGGCTATTGTTCCAGCAAGAAGTCAGGCAATGCTGGGCTGTGGGTGCAGGGCTTCCCAGCAACTCTGAATCCCAGCCCAAGCTTGCTGGAGCATTTTGTGTCAGGAAAAAAAAAAGGCTCATTAGTTGCAGGGTTGCTGGGACAACTCTGGAGAAGCGAGGGAGACAAACAAGGCTGAGTATTCCCCCAAAGCTTCAGACCTCCTGGGGCAAAGAAAGGAAGAAACATTTCCAAAGAAAGAGAGGGGAAGGGTGGGGAACACTGGGTCCCATCTGTTCTGGGGAAATGGCAGCTTAGAGCCAGAGGAGAGGGTGGGAGAGTTCCTGAGGAAACTCTCACTAGTTTGCCAGACTCACTGAGCACCAGGTGTTCCCAAGGGAGGGTCATCGGGCATGAAGACTGTATGCCCTAAATCAGGGGTAGGGAACCTGTGGCCTTGAGGCCACATGTGGCCCTCTAGGTCTTCAGGTGCAGCCCCCTTTGACTGCGTCCAAGTTTTACAGAACAAATGCTTTTATTAAGGGGATTTGCTCTGGGAAGTTTGGACTCAAAGGGCCACACCCGAGGACCTAGAAGGGCACATGTGGCCTGGAGGCTGCAGGTTCCCCACCTTTGCTCTAAATGTCTGGGGCTCTACCAAACATCAATTTGGGGAAAGAAGGCTCAATCTGGAGGCCCAGAACCTGGATTAGAAGTCTGCTCTATTGCTTGGCTACAATGACTTAGCAAGTATGGTCCCCTCTCTGGGACTGAGGGTTGTCCTCTGAAAGAAAATAAATTGAATGTGGTAGCTGCATGTTATGACAACCCCACATCTCATGTGCTTAATTCAGTCCAATTCAGCAAATGTTTATTAAGTGTTTACCACGGGCCAGGCTCAATGCCAGGCTCAGAGGGGATGCAGAAACCAAAAAATGAGACTTGCCCCCCTGCCCTGCAGAAGCTTGCAGGGGAAAAGAAAGAAAACAGTACAGGCACCTAGATAAGGAGATACAAATACATAGAAAGCAAACACAGACTATTTACCAACCAAATGCAAAATGCAAAGTAACTTTGGAGGAGAACGGGAAGAGCTGAGAGAGCCTGAGAAAGGCCTGAGTTGCTGTGCTGGGAACTGGGCAGAGTGAGTCTGGAGAAGGAAGTGGGTGTTGTGGGCTTGGCTTGGTTCTGCTTGGTACCTGAGGGAAGGACCCAGAACAGGCCTGGGCTGGGGTGGGGAGGGGCCAAGAGTAGCAGGTGGTGGTTTTTTTTTCTTTATGTCAGGAAAAACTTCCTAATGATTGGAACTGCCTAAGATCATGGGCCTCCAACTGCAGCCCAGGGATGGAGATGAGGCCCTGGGAATTGTGATTTGCACCAGAGACAGAATTGGAACCCAGGCCCTCAGACCCCAGCCACCACATCACACTGGCACTTGTAAGCAAGGGGACAAGCCCTCAGGATACACAAGTTGAGCTTTTCATTCCCTCTTCCCTGGAATAAAGGGTGTGGCCAGGTGAATCAACCTGGATAATCTCAGAGGTTATAAGGAGGAATTCTTTGTTTGGGATTTATCTGAGGTCAGGGGTTAACAGCAATAGGAACTTTTTTTTTTTTTGGCAATTGGGGTTAAGTGACTTGCCCAGGGTCACACAGCTAGTAAGCGTCAAATGTTTGGTCTGAGGCCGGATTTGAACTCAGGTCCTCCTGACTTTTCAGGGCCAGTGCTCTATCCACTGCACCCCCCAGCTGCCCCAGTGATAACTTTTGTAGAGCCCTCTTTACGTGCCAGGTGTTGTGGGGAGTGCTTTACTTATTACGTCATTGGATCCTCACCCCAGCCCTGGGAGCTAGGTGCTGTTATCACCCCCATTTTACAGATAAAGAACTGAGGCAAATAGAGGCTAAGTGACTTGCCTAGGGTCACACAGCTAGAAGTAGCTGAGGCCAGATTTGAACTCAGGTCTTCCTGATTCCAGGTCCAGTGAGCCACCTAGGTGACCCCTTTGTCACACCAGCACCTCTGGGGAGAAGATGGAGGCAGAGTGGAGATGATTTCTGGGTTGGGGGTGGGAGGGTGTACCACCTGATAGTGCTTTCAGGCCTCTGGCCGTACTCAACCCTCAGGGGACCTCTCTGTCCCCCCCGAAGATCTCTCTGTTCCCTTTATAAAGGCTGGGGTTCAGCTCTGAGCTACAGTAGTTGGCCCCAATCCAAGCATCCTTCAGGCCTCAGTCATCCTCAGTGAGGTGTGACCGGATTGACAAGTGCCTGCACAAAGGCCTAATTATTAACCTCTAATAAATTTACCCCTGCTCCCAGCCCGGACACCTGCTCTGTTGCTAATCATGGTTCATGTGGATATGGGGCTTTGGGCTTTGCCAAGCACTTTCCAGGTTTTCTTACAGCACCCTGGGGAGGTCAGAGCTATTGCCTGTCACCCTGGTCTTCATATCCCCAGCACAGCCTGAAGAAATGTTGGTTGAATTGAATCAACCCTTACTGATGGGGAAACTAAGGCCAAGATGTTAAGTGACCTGGTCCAGGTTCCATGGGCAGTGAGCAAGGAGGAGCTGAGATGTCCTGAATGATTCATCTTTCAGACTCTCCTTGCTTCGCTTGCCATTGGTGCAGAAGACAGAGAGGTGGGCTGGCACAGGTTATAATATGATCATGCGGATTAGCGACTCATTGAATGGCCAGACCCAGAGTTGTCACTGGCAGGAGGCAGAACCTTCATGGTTACAGGACCAGCTTGACCCTGGGCCAGTCCCCCTTGTATCCTTGATTTCTATGAATCCACAGAAGATGTCATCAAACTGGCAGATGATACAACTGCAAGCAGCAGACTTAAAGCCTTGGATGACAGAATCAGTCTCCTAAAAAATCTTGATAGCATAGAATTGTGGGCCAGATTTCACAGGATGAAATTGAATGGGGATTAATGTGCAGCTCTCCACATTTTGGGAAAAACACTGATGGACTGAAGAGCTTCCAGGGCTGGGCAGGGCTAAGAGGGCTGGAGACCAAGCCGTCCTAGCCATGGCAGCTGCTTCTGGGGAGGCTTGTTCTGGAGAAGACTTGGACGGGGGCGGGGGGGACACAGTCGATGTCCAGGAGACAGAGTCAAGCAATGGAAAGGGCTAGATGTAACTCCCACCTTTGTTACTCAACTGTGTGACCTTGAGAAAGTCACTTAACTTAGGTGGATCTCAGCTTCCTCTTCTGTGAAATGAAGTTGCCAGACTTGGTGATCTCTAATATTCCTTCCAACTCAAAATCTAAAGAGGTTATGAAGAAGTATTTGAGGGTCACATGAAAGATGGATTAGCTTTGTTCTGCTTGGCCCCAGAGAAGAGAATTAGAAACAGTGAGTGGAAATCCCAGAGAAGCAAATTATTTCTCAATGTCAGGAAAACCTAACAATGGAACTGTCCCAGATTAGAACAGGCTTCCCCCTCCCTGGAGATCTTCAAGAGGAGGCTGAATGACCAATTGTGGTCGAGGGGAGTTTTAGTCAAGTACAGGTTTGGGCCAGATGCGTCTGGGCTCACTTCTAACCCCCATCTTAAGAGATTCTCTGTTCCCTCTTCGAAGAGGATTGTCTTAGCACAGGGCCCAGTCATTTCTCTTTATGGGAAAGTCCACCCACACATTGCTGCTTTTTAAAAGGTGAGCAAGAAGGGGAATTTGCTTAGGAGGGAGGGATTGCCTCTAAGTGATGACTCCTTCCCCGTGGTTCATTGTCTCATGCTCTGAAATACACAATCCTTGGAAGAAGGAGGAAAAGGAAGGGCAGAAGGAGGGAAGGATGAAGAAGGGAAAAATGGAGAAGTGAGTGGGATCTCTTGGGGATCCTCTTTCCTGGGTCACTTTGCCCCTTGGCATCAGCTAGATAAACTTGTGACTGACTCAGCCCCATCAGGTCAAAGATGTCTCTCTCCACTCCTCCAAGGATTTCACAGGGACATCTCATCCCACCTTGAAATGGGCACATCCTCAGTGCCTCCATCTTGCCACTTTAGTCAGGAGTGAAAAGGCTCTATGCCTGGGCCATACTTAAAAAAAATTGGGTTCTGAAAGTGGCTGGGAAGGGGTAGTAGAAAGGACCATCATTGCCATTTTTGGTGGGTTTACATTCTACTCTTCTATTTCTGTTTTCTTTGAAAATAAATGAAAATAATCACAGAAGGCATGGACATCACAATTGGATCAATTACTCACAAGTATAAACTAAGTCTTTAATAAATTTGGAAGGATCGTCCTTCTTTGACCATAGGATGAAGGCACATGGCTCCACACCTGAAATATCATGTGACTAGGTAAGTGCTACACCTTTGGGCCTAGGTTTAAAAACAGCAGCAAATCCAGTGGCAAACCAGTCTAGTGTTGGAAGTGTTCTAGTTTTGGAGTCAAGCCCTACTGAGGGAATCTCTCGGCACCCCACTATGTTACTGGAGATATGGAACCAGCAGGAGACTACTCTCCCAGCCAGTAGTGACACCACCCAAAGAAGGGTAGCTTTAGGGAACATGGCCCATCACAGAAGAGAAATGTATGGGCTATAGACTCTTTAAAACCTCTAACCCTCACAACCCAACAAAGAGATTCACCTAATAAAAACTCCATGACAACTTTACAAAAAGAGAATAGGACTTTCAGTAACCAGAAGTTGGGAGTTCTCCTTTTATCACATGTGTTCTCTGTAAGGATGCCTCACAACCTTTGTATTTTAAGTCTTTGGCCACTCTCCCCTTGGATGCTATATGTATTTGTGGGCAAGTATGCCCCAGAAATATTTGGAGGGATGTTTTTGTAACCACTGTTCTTGCTAAGCTGTTTTCATCAATGTCTTTGCTAAAAAGCAGGTTGTTAAGAGGAAGCACACCGGTGGGGGCTCATGAACAACAGTGCTAGAAATTCAGCCCTCAAGATTATTGTTGTTGCTGTCCAGTTGTGTCTGACTTTTCAAGACTCCATTTGGGGTTTTCTTGGCAAGGATACTGGAGTGGTTTGCCATTTCCTTCTCCAACTTTTTTTTTTTTTAAAACAGATCAGGTACTGAGGCAAACAGGGTGAAGTGACTTGCCCAGGGTCACACAGCTATTAAGTATCTGATACCAGGTTTGAACTCAAGAAGATGAGGTATTGTGCTCTATCCACTGTGCCACCTAGCTGCCCCCTCAAGGTTGTTATTAGAGTCCTAAAAGTTACATTCAGTTGTTCCCTGGGGACTTGGACTTCCGATGTAAGTTGGTGTTGGGGAAGTAGCTCCAGGAGGGATCCTACCTTAGTAACTTCTACATAACAGAAGGTATGCAATTTCCTTAACATGCGTACTCTCCCCCACTCGCTATACAGATAGCAGCCCCTATGAAACTCTGGAGATGGTGGCTGAGGGTGGTTTTCCAAGGCACCCAGCCTGGTGATGAGGATCTTCCGACTTCATCAGGACACTTTTTAAGATGACACACAGAGTGTGTCACTGGCCTATTGAGTACAGGGTCAGGTCACTGCCCAATCCTGACTGCCCTTCTCTTCTGGGTGTTCTTCTTATCATGTAGCACCCATCACAGAACTTATTCTCCAGTTGTCTCCTGACCAAGGCAGAGGACAACAGAAGTGTGATATCCTTAGTGCTGGGATGCCTGCCACTCTGGATTGCATTTACTTTCTTGCCTTCAGTATCACCTGGTTGACTCATCTGGAGCTTTTATTTATTTATTTTTGGACTAGCCCTGTGACTTCATGGGTATTGGGAAATCCCAGTGTAGAAACTCCCTTTGTCAATGCAGATCAGCACCTGTTTTACGGCTCAGAGTCTTAGAGAATTGTAGCCTACTGAAACTTCTCCAGTCTCTCTCATTTTGTATTTGACCAACACAGAATTAAGTTGGAAGAGAGCAGGAGAGACTGCTTCTGAGAAATCATACAATTCACTGTCTGCTGCCAAAGCCTGCCTTTTTAGCACCATGATTTTCCTGGTGGTCACTGCATAGCTGCTGATTAGGGAACACCAGTCTCAGAAGAACCATAGCTGTGGGTGAATCAGACATGAGCTAAGTACCCTTCCCCTCCCCCCCAGCACCTATTAGGGCAGCATATTAATAATGATGATTAATGCTGGAGGAGAACAGTGCAAAGTATTACAGAGGACATGCATGGTCAGAAAAGGGGAGGTGCTGATCCTGGTAAGAGCAGGGCAAGGGACTCTGGGGGGTGGGGCAGGGTGGACAGAAGATCACACTGGATTCCATGCAAATATTGAGATACCCAGCAGAAGCCCAGTGCTTATTGTCTGGGTCCTGTATGCAGGGTTTATGAAAAGACACAGGCAAAGAATCCCATAGGAGGAGAAGATACGGGCAAGTTGTGATCAGCACCAGTGGAGAAAATATGCATCTGGACAGCTAGGTGGCACAGTGGATAGGGCACCGGCCCTAGAGTCAGGAGGACCTGAGTTCAAATCCAGCATCAGACACATAACATTTACTAGCTGTGTGACTCTGAGCAAGTCACTTAACCCCAATTGCCTCTCCCCAAAAAATGTGCATCCAAGAAGTACAGTATTTGGCAATACATTGATCAACAAA